AGTTGTGTAGTTGTTCTTCGCAAGCATTGGGTAGTGAAGGGTGACCGATCCCTCCTTCGAGTTGGTCCCATCAATGGCTGTGTGTCGAGGCATGTATTTTGGCATTCACTTCAACACCGAAGCTCTGATACCAAATGTTACGTTGTATACAGCCCAGGATTTCTGCAAACTGAAAAATGTAATTTGAAGAAATAATCTCACGGAGGCATTTAATCAAACAGTTTCGATGCAAGAAGAAAAGCTCTCAGTTTTTATATAGGAATGAAACAACCGAACTCTCTATATTAATCAGGATAAAATGCAGATATAAATAGAAATAAAATAGGCAGTTAACTCAGCTACTTTTCTGCCAGACCACTACTCCACTTCATAACAACATGCTAAGACTATGAAGTTGCCTAAAGAATAGGTAAAACATAACTGAAACATTATTTGATAAAAGATTAAATATTAAATATTAAAACTGAAAAAAAAAATATTAAAACTGAAGTGTAGGAGGATTAACTACAGCAGTCGGTGTCTTTATGTGGTGCTATATATGATAATTAATTAATTAAGAACACCCTTCCACACCACAATAATACTCGTAATTCAGTATTACTATCATGTATTGTATTAAGTTGATATGCTTTGCTTAGCTTAGCTTGAATTAATAAATTAGCTAGCAAGTTTCTTTTTTCCTAATTAATACTCCCTATGTTTTTATTAACTTTATTAACCGTCTCTTCTTCCTTCTTATTAAGTTTTTATACTTTTATGCCTTCATTTTATTACATTTACTTTTTATACACAGTAAAGTATTCTCCTTTTCCTATTTATTTATTATTTATTTCTTCTTAATATATTCTATTTCCTACTTTTTCATTTTACCAACCGTCTATATTGTCATTACTATTTCTTTCTTAAGACCCACAAAAAACCTAAGAGACAACTAATTAAGAAGGGAGATCTTCCATAAAAAGAACGGAGGGTAAATAACACCACTTCAGATTCTTTTTTAAATTCTTTCCACTTCCTACTTTTTATTTGTTAATTTGAATATATCCACCAAAGGTATAAATATTGATCTTTTGGGCGATACATTTTCAAAGAATCGAAGATGTATTGCAACAACGAAGAATATTTTTATTAGAGAAATATAGCTGCAAAAATGACACTTATTCCAGCAGCCTCTCTAGGCCAGAGGTCAACACCAATCCTTTCAGAGGAGACAATGGTGGTGCTGGAAGACACTATTGCATGGCAAAAGCATCGTTGGAGGAGCAGAACGATGGAGGAAATTGTCTTCGTCGGAGGAGGAAGCAGTTGTCTAAGGGGAGAGGGATGGAGATAGAGAGAGAGGTGATCACAACTTGGGCCTCGCTGAAAGGTCGGCGGAGGTGCATCAGGGTGGAGGAGGTTAGCGGTGACAGGGGATGTCAGAGTGCAGCGACGACGCTGGAGTGTTGTGGCCGAGATGCCAAAGTGCGGTGGCGGTGACTGAGACACTGGTGGCTAGGATGCTGGAGTTCGGTGGTTGCTAAGGCGCCGGAGGATGGAGGCAGCGGCTGAGACACTGGAGTGCGGCAACGGCGGGTGAGGCGCTGGAGGGTGGCTCCTTGGTGGATGTGGCATTACTTGCTAGGGTTTTGGATTTTTTTTAATTTTCTTTTTTTTTGTATTTAATTATGGATATAGCGAAAAATTCATCAAGAGTAATTTAGCCACGCCATCCATGCCCCTTTTACACCTATCAAACATTAAACTCCTATTTTAAATCTTTTTTAATTGGTTTACTCCCATACGGATATTTAACCCATTATCAAATTAAGAGTAAAATTAAAATATAAATTCATTTTTTTATAACGGAGGAAGGTGGTCTTACATATTATTGTTTATGCTTAAGAAATTGATCTTAATAGAACTAAAACATGGTCAAAATTCTAAAATAGGACTACATGTTTTAAATTTCCTAAATAGGATTGCCGATTACCATTCTACCCTTGACATCCATCTGCAACTCATCGGCTTTCTCTCAATCGACTGCAATTCGCCGCAGCAACTCCGCATAGGCACACATCCCTTGCTCCCATTGACTGCAGCCCGCCACCGACTATGGCCTCAAACCGCACCTCCGCCGTCGATGGTAGGTAATCTCCTCCTCTTCCTCTTCTTTCTTCTTTCTTCTTCTTGCCCTGGTGCACTTCTTCCCCCTCCTGCACTCTGTTTTCTTTTTTCTTCTTCAATTCGTCTACTACCTTTTTAAATTCTAAATAACTTTTTGGATTTTATTTATTGATTTGGATTTTTATCAGGATGGCAATCTCAGAATGTCATTTGTCCATAAGAAAATATCATTAACATGTCGTTATTCATATCAAATGACATAAAGTTAGTAAGAAAATGCCATTAATTAACATATCAAAATTAAAGTTCAGTAAGAAAATGTCATCTTTATAAAGTTAATTAGTGGCATAAAACTGACATTATTTTGTGAAACGGACAAAAATATGACATTCTAGAGTTTTATAATTTCAAAATAATACTGTCATCTTAATAGGTGCAAATGCCATAAAAGTGGCATTTTTCTGAATATTATCAATTTTATAGCATTCTTAAATTCCAAATTAATCAAAATTAATAAATAAAAAAATCCAAAATCAAAGAAGAAGAAAAGAGATGACTAATATTCATATGTATGTTTGTGTTTTTAATTAGTTTTGATTGATTTTCACTTTGGAAATTACACACTTTTGGTGTAATAGATTAGTTTGCTAAATTCTTGTAAATTGTTTAGATTAGGTTCATTCTAAGCTCAAACAGGTCTATTATCACTCAAAGGACAATTGGTGAACCCCAAAAGTGGAAGGAAGGTGCAAAATCACAAGACAAAATGAAGATCCTGATTTTTTTGTCTATACCCGGTCGGGTATGACCTATACTCGATCGGGTATCTTGTTGAAATTTCAAATCGGATCGGATCCGAAGACAAAGGAACATGCAGGGAAGAGTTTGACCACGATCGAGTGTCTATACCCGATCGGGTACACCGACACACCCGATCGGGTATCCTTTCAAAACTAAGCCTGAAATCGATCGAGTATACCTCGGATCTGAGGTTTTACAGATATTCGATTGGGTACAAGAACACAACCGATCTGGTATGCTTATATGATTTACCCCTTAATCAATCGAGTATACCTCGAATCTGAGGTATTACACATACCCGGTCGGGTACCGTGTATATACCCGATCACGTACCCGAGCTGCATCCCCAAAAGCCTATAAATACACCTCCTTCCCTTCACAATTAGATCACCAATTCCTATATACTTCTTAGCTCAGCCTAGACAAGTTCTTTCTTTATATTTTCTTCATGTTTAGTCTCCAAATGAGGAGCTAAACTCTTCCATCTTAGTTTTGCTACTTTGAAGCTTAATGAATTTGTAAGTTGTGAGTTATTCTCTTTAATTTTCTTCCTTGAATATTAATTCTTCCTTTAAATACTATTTCTATATCAATGTTGGGGAGTGTTACTAAGATGACAATTAGTTGACATCTTGACATTAGTTATAGTAATAGTTATTTCTTCCTCTATGTTAATATTGAGGAGTGTTATTAAGATGACAATTAGTTAACATCTTGATATTAACTATAGTAGGATTCATCTTCTTTAATATTCTTCCTTTAGTATTATTTAATTCCTATTCATATTTCATATTAATATTGTGAACATTACTTAAAGGATTAACTAGTTTTGTTTCATATATTAATTATTACTAGAATCGATCGATTAATACGCTTGTTATTAATTCGGTTCATTCACGGCAGTAAACTTGGATTATTAATGCATGCGTCTCATGGTTAATAATCTAAGGGAATTTATTATATCGATTAAACCAATAAACTGTTTGTGTTGAGGTTATCAATCTCAATCGTTTTCATCTTAAGTTTATTGCTACTATCGTGTTAATATACGGCGCGTGTTCTATATTGACTCGGTAGTAAGTTTTATTAATGAACGCGTCTCATTATTAATAACTACCCTCGATGAACTGGATATACTCCTCGATTGAGTATTTGAGAGGAAGATAGTTAAAGTATAATCGGGATCGACGAACATTTCATTAAGTGGATAAAAGCAAAACCAAGTCCCTATATCTATTAAGTAAACTCATATTGGTTGTTCATCTTAGTATTATTAAATCAAATCAAAAAACCCCTTGTTACTAGTTACGTAAAAGAAAAGTATTCTTTTTCCTGTGGATACGAATCTTACTACACTATACTACGTATTAGTGTTGTATTGAATATTTGTTTTGAGTGCACACCACGACAAAGTGCACGTCAAGGACATTGAAGACGATGAGAAAGAGAAGGAGAAGAAGAGAAGGAGAAAGGAGAACTGAAGAAGATTACCTGGTATTTGAAATAGGAAGCTACTTCCTCCTGCACCTGTTGTTGACGAATATTGTTGAGCAAACATCTTTTGGACGGCAGCGAAGGCGGCTTCAGAGACCAAGATTAAGATGGGAGTGAAGCTTCGTCGGAGAATTCATTTGAGGCCAGAGTCTTCTGAGGAGCGCACGCCTAGGAGAGTAGTTGGTTTTATTTCATTAAGGGTAGTTTTGTCAGATTAGCTCTTTTGAGTCCTGTTTTTATCCAATAAAACATAGTAGTCCTATTTTTGCATTTGTAGTACTCTTTATCAAATTTCTTTCGGTTCTTTCTCTTAAAAAATGAAATTAAGTGGGCCAAACAAGTAAAGAATGAAGTTGACTCATAACATATATAGAAATAATCTCCGAGTAAGTTTTTGCATTTACATGAGCCGTCACCCCAAATGCCCATCCACCAGTCTCGCTCATGAAGCTGTTCAGATCAGCAGGCCGATATATACAATTAAGTACGTAAATGACACACATTGTTTTCATTCAATGAAAGATCCAAATAAGATGAATAGAGTTCGACCGGATTTATTCTCAATTCAGGAATAAGAAAAAGCACCTTTCACCAGGAATCTATTGGTAGCCTCCTTATTCATGAAGGCCGGATAACAATAATGAGCATTAAATCATAATGTATAACATATATGGAACTGACAATCGGTGAAATTAATAAGATATTACTACGTAGTATACAACCTCAAAATATATGAGCGTAGAATGGATTGGATGTGTATAAAACCAAGTATTATATTGAACAATACAAAAACAAATTCTTGCAAATCAACTCTCACCACTCGATCAACTGAGGGTTCAACAAAATCATAAATTACCTCCCGGATAATTCCTCCTCAGCTTCCTGTTTGGGTCCAAATTTTGTGTGTGCGCTCGGTGGTGACATCAAGCTCGACACATATTCGAACTAAAGATGGTCTGGAAAGGGAGGCCGTACCCAGGTCAAGAAGTAGGGGTTTGCCGATGATGTTAGCAATAGACAGGGGAGCTCTTCTGTCTTGTAGATGAACCGGTAATCCGAGGAAGGTGATCCAGGTTGGTGTGATGGGGGATTCCTTACCTGTTTGAAAGCTTGTGGTCCATTTCGTGACTCTAAGGACCATACCATTGACTGCCCACGTCTGTCCCAGCCAGAGTCGTAAGTAGTCCTCTTCCATGTCAAAAGTAATTAGAACGTGTCTTGGAGCTAGAGGGCCAAGAGTAAAGCTACCTTTAAACCTTAGCTTCTCGAGTGTGCCCCTTACTGCGGCCAGTTTGGGAATTCCGTGAAGGAGGGTTCTTATGAGAGCACGGTTGAGAGGCTGTGAGAGTGAGATGATTTCCTCCTGAGAGAAGGAACTGCTGGAAGCCCTGCAATGGTAGTCGGTTGTTTCAAGGGGTATGTTTTGTTGGGTTGGGTGAGGATGTTTGCGAAGGTTTTTTTAGGCAGTGGGGGTTGACCAGGTTTTGGGGTGGGTTTTGTGTGAGCGATGGTTGTTTTCAGATTGTTGGTCGGTTGGGGATTAAGAAAAGCAGCACTTTGAGGAGGGTTTATGGGACCTGCCTCTGGGCTTTCCAGCTATTGGTTGGGCTACGTTCATCCCACTGAGTGCTGATGTGTTAGTACCAGCAGCTGGTTGAGAAACCTCACTCTTTCTGGCTTGCCATGTGACATCTGAATCCTTTGATGGCGGTTGTGGTTCTGCGGTGTCTTCCATGGATGTGGATGGTCGGTTGGAGGTTTGTGTGGTGTCTTGCACTGATGAGGATTGTGGGCGGTGGTTTGGGTGGTGGCTACCATGGCGGCCATGGCTGCCTAGGGCGGATGGGGGCTGAGGTTTAGGGTAGGTTTTGGGTAGATGGCCCATTTGTAAAAGATGTCGCCTTTGCAATCACGGTGGGAGAACTTGATGTCTTTAGCATTGCCAAAAAACGTTGTATCAAAAAGGAAAAATTAGGCTACGAGCAAATTTTCCATGTAACCGAATTTTGTATATATGTGTATAATGACTCCCCAAATCCAAATTTGTCCTCGTGCAGTGCATTCTTTGAAAAAGTGTTCCCACATACGGTTCACAATGTTTTAGTGGTATGGGGGTATGTCAAACAATGTATTGGTTAGTACACAAACATCTCCTATTCTTGCTTGATGATTGTTGGGGTGACCAAACACAAAACTAACCAAAACTTTTAAGAAAATGTGTAGCACCGGGTGTCGGATATGGGTTATTACTAGATTATAGGAGCTAAAGGTCATCTCCCCCATCATTATTTCCCACAATTCAAATCCATACACCGTGTCATTATAGGAGCTAGTACAAAATAAACTCACTTGCATCCTTATCCATAGACTAGGTAAGACTTCCATCTTCCAATCAAATGCATCCTATTCATCTCTTTCAGCCCAATCAACTAACAACAGATCAGCTTTTGATGGTGCTTTGTATTTTTCTGATGGTGGTGCGTTTGGCGCTTTGTCTTCTCTTTTTTATGATGATCTTAGTTTAGATGATGATGGCTTTGAGAATGTAGGAACTAAAGCAGATGATAGAACTGGCGGAACTGTAGAAGTTGTAGGTCTGGTGGAACAGGTGTAGTAACAGTAACAGGTAAACTAACATCGGGGTCACAAAGATTTACCGTTGTCATCATACTAGAGGCTGGCTCGTTCTGATGGCCTGAACATAATGGTGATTCACATGTTGCATTTTCAGGACTTCCTTCCAATCCTGGAACAACATCCATAGTAGATGAGCCTATGGAAGTTCTCGTGAGGACACACACTCCTATCACAATAGATGTAGGTAATGATGGTTATGGTGAAGGAAATGACAATGGTTTAAAAATGGTTAAGGCTAATGATTGAGATGGTGGGGCTTCAGAAGTGGGTGAGGGTTGTGGTTGAGATGATGATGATGATGGTTCAGAGCTAGATGAACTAGGAACTATGGCTAGGGTTTGTTGCTCACAAGTACACGGCCATTTCTCCCCCCCCCCCCCCCCCCCCTCATGATGATCCGAGTCATCGGTGTCATCATGCTTACGCTTAGGTAGGCATTCTTGATCATGACAAGTGGCTTGAATATAAGGTGGGACAAAGGCTAGGATATCGCAGACTTGGATGAGATGGGGTGGAAGGTTGGTTTCCTGAGTAAGCGGTCAAGGAAATATTCGGAAAGATCAATAATATTGAGGTTTGCGAGGTTGGGTGAAGAAGTTGAAGGTAAAGGTTGGGTAGAAATGGATATGGTTGGTGTGGTTGATGGTAGAGTTAAGATGGTATCTGGTTGGGTGGAGGGAGTTGGGTGTGATCTTTAGTCTGCTACGACTGTTGGGTATTAGACCTCAGATCCTTCCTAGCAAGATTAGCAAAAGATGAAAAACTAGATCTAAACATGTTCTCACAGCATCAGTAAAAATTGCAATGATATGGTTGTTGTGACCGGTGGTAATATTCCGGTATCAGTGTGTGTAAGAGGTTGTGCCCTAGAAAATGATAGAACATTTGGGATGGTGGACACATGACCTATCGTGCAAGGGCTTTCATTGTGGGGTGGTTCACTGAGTAATAAGGGTTCCTGTTGGTCCCGTTTATATTGGGAACAGTCTAGAGGGGGGTGAATAGACTGTTCAGATTTTTTAAACTTTTCTCTGAGTCAACACTGACTTACCAGAGAATGCATGGTTCTGGTGACAGAGAAGGTCGAGTTCTGATGACAGTACTGGACCTGGCAACGGATAAGGTTCTGTCCGGGCAGCCTCAGGAAAATAATAAGGCAAATGCCTTTCTGATAACTCTTAAAACAAGATCTGCTGAACACAGAGTCCAAGTTCTTGGGAGTTAGACAGTTAGAATCTTAAGTGCAGAAAATAAATACGTAAAGTAAAAGACAACGGGGTTTTTATAGTGGTTCAAGGAACAACGTGTTCCTCTAGTCCACTGTTCCACTAAGCTTGTAAGTCAACAGTTACAACGCCTTAGTCCGTAGCACTTACGAAGCACTCCACGTCTTCTTCAAGCCTAGTTGCCACTCGGGATGCAGTCCTTGCTTCCTAATGGCTGGTCTTGTTTCACTGAGTCTCTTGAAGTATCCCCACTTCACTTACTCCAGTTAGTTTGAGACGTCCCTTCTTTTGAAAGAAGTGTTTGATTTAAAATCTGTTTTCTCCAACGTAGCTTCGTCACAAAAGATATGCAGTTGAGGCTTTAGAAGTGTTGAAGAACTAGAGGAACGATTCTCTCACGTTGGAAAGAAGAGATATGGAGTTTATAATCTTTTCCAACGTTTAGGTGTGTTGCTCGTGATGAGTAGATGTTGAATTCTTTGAGCGTTTGAATATTTGAACTTAGAGAGATTGATCGTTTTTCTTCCAATCCTTCGAAGAGTATCTTATATACTGGAAGCAGTCTTCCCGTTGGAGTGTAGAAGACAACTTCATTAAATGCTTGTATTGTTTGATTTGACCGGTTGGTCCTTGACTTGCTATTTTGGGGGCGAAAGGATATCCACATGGTCAATCATCAGCTTTAAATATCTCTTCGTACGTACCGCTTTAATTGAGCATTTAATGCGTGTACAGTACCATGTTCCGTCGAATGGCTCCTAGCCGTTAGGGAATTTCCCGTTAGTTTCACGGCCGTTGGAAGTGCCTTCGAATTCTGCTAAGTATCAGCAAATTTGGTGAGGCTCACTGGTTGAGATTCTGATGACCGCCTCTGATGCTAACTCTGGTACCGAACTCAGGTAGCTTCTCTGATGAGCAACTCTGATGGCAACTCTGATAGCAACTCTGATGAGAAAGTCAAAGAGGGTCTCTGGCCAGTGGGCTATGCTAATACTTACATAGAAAATTCTAATACAAACTTTCTAAAGGGGTACTTTAAAATTCTAATTAACCTAGCATCATCAAAATCTAAATATATTTATTCCTTACAATTTCCCCCTTTTTGATGATGCCAAAACCCTTTAACTATTTCCAGAGAAGTGTCTTTCACCATAAAAGAAATAAGGTTTAAAAACTTTCATTAAAATCTTGGTGGGCAACTTGGCATAGGAAAATAGTAAGAGTACGATACAATCAAGATAGAATAAAGCAAACAAAGAATCAGAGCAAAAACTAAGCACAAACACAGAAAGCAATAAAGAACAAAGAATTGAGAAAGCCGTGCAAAATAGAGGCAGAGATGGTATCTTATTATCAGAGAGTATATAAAGATACAAGAGAAAGAATAATTAAGATTCTTCATCTTCTACCTGTGGTCCTACTTCATCAATCCTTCTCAGTTCAGCATTGACTCTGGCTCTGATTGAAGCTAAGTTCCTCGGATTCTGGCATTCTTACCAGTGAGGCTCAAGATTGCAGTCCAAGTAGTTTCTTACAGCTTCAGAGATATTCCTACCCGGTATGACCTTCATTTGCCACCACATATTTGCTTCTTCAATTGATCCTCCATGATTGACTTGAACAAGTCCATCATTGTCTATGAAGAGATTCTCCTGCTGTAGTGGAGTCATCAGCTTTTTCATTTGCTCAAACTGAGTTCTGTCAACTCTTGACAGTCCACTCTTCATCCACTCATTAAATGAGAAGTTGGATGGTTTCTTCTTGGCAGCTTCAAAATAGGGATCAAGATCAACAGAGGATGGCTTTCTGATTGTCAGAGTTCTGGAGCTTGGACCTTCTTCTTCTCTGGTCTCTTCTTCTCTGGTCTCTTCCCCCTTTTTGGCATCAACAAAATCGCCAAGGAGGAGCTCTATCTTGGAGAACTCGGGGGCTTGAGCATCTCAGATTTCCTCAAGAGCTTCTGGAAGGGTCTGAGTGACAGAGGCCAATCCTTCTATCAGGCTCTGTTGCTTCTCAACAGCTGATTGGATGTATTTGGTGTTTGCCTCAACGAGTACCATTTTGTGGTATCTTTCCTTATCATTCTTAAGGAGAGTGGAGGCTTGCTCATTATGATCTTTGCATAGAAACTGTATCTCCATAAATCTTTCAGAAGATTGATCAGCATTCCATTGTAGAATATCGATAGCTTCAGATATCTGCTTGATTGCCTTGTTCTGAGCGTTGAGAGTCTGAGAGTGGGAGTAAAGGGCAGAGTTGATACCGTCCACTTCTCTTGAAATGGCATCTACTTTGGAAGTTGAGGTGCTCATAAAGGTAGACAGAGTTTGACTCAGCTTTGCAACATTCTCAGAGATTTGCTGGATTCCAAATTCCAGATTAATGTTGACGTGTGTCAGATGTTCATAGTGTTTGTCATTGATCATGACGAGCTTATTCATCCCATCCAACATCTGACCACCAAATTCTTCTGCAGCTTGAACAAACTGGTTGAAGGGAATTTGAGGTTCTTCATGTTCAAACCCTGGCATTTCCAAACATTTTCCCTTATATACTGGAGGATTTCTGCCAGCAGGTTCTTGGGAGAGTTCCCTTGGTGGTGTTTTCCTCCTTTTTGAAGTGAGATCTCCTGTCAGAGATGATGGAAGGAATCCATCATTTTCACTATCAGAGGAGAGGACACGGTGCAGTGGCTCTTTCTTTGGAGTGAATGCTGCAGAGTGATGAGAGGACCTCTGTGGTGTAGCAACTCTGGATGGTGATTTCTGATGAGAGGATGTAGCAGACTTGGGTTTCAGGTGGGGGAGCTCTGGTGAGAGATGGATCTCTAGTGTTGAGGAGATGGTGGTGGAGGTGAGGGTGAACGGTTTCTGGTAGGGGTGTTTTGCTAGCAAGGTGAGGGGGGCTTGGATTTTTGTGGAGATGGTTGTTTTTCAGGTGTAGAAGTTTTCTGTTTAGATGGGGATGATGATTTGGTTGAGGTTTTCTCCTGGGAAAGGGTTTTCTGGGAGTTAATGTTTTGATTGTTGAGGGATTCTGTTGGGAGAGGGGGTTTTCTGGTGAGGTGAGGAGGGAGTATTTTGTATGTGAGGGGATTGTGGAGGTGTGGAACAAGGTGTGGTAAGTTTAGGTGATGTTGCTTTAGGAGAGGGAGGAGGGAGTTCTGTAGAATTATGAACAGAGGAGGGGTTAGGGATTACCTCAAGGACTATTTCTTCA